CCACTCCAGCCACACTGCTGTTGTTGCTATTCCTCATATAAGCTGAGCTCATTCCCACTTTGGGGTTTATACCTGTAGTTCCTCAGTCTGAAATGCTTCCTCCTCGAATCTTAACATCTCTTTATTCAAGTCTCTGCCCAAATGTATCATTAGAGAGGATATGTGTTGTTCCTCAAAGCCCTTATCAGTACATGAAATTATATTAAATACTTGTTCATTAATTCAGTCAGCTACAGATACAAACTCTGTAATGGAAGGGACTTTGCATAGTTCACTGATGTTTCTCTGGTGCCCAGAATGGTGCCTGGCATAAACTGGGTACTTGATGAATGTTTGTTAAATGAATATACTTAGTAACTTCACAGGCCTCTGGGAATAGATTTGACAATCTGAAGGCCCTACAAAAGACTTTCATTTTCCTATTCCCCATCCAAATTACAAACACCAAGGCTTTACTCACTTGCATATTTTTATATAATCTTCGTCTTTACATCAAATATTCTCTTTCTCTGTGTCTGGCTACTATGAGACTTTGATAATATTCCTCCCTATAACTTCATGTATTTTCTCTCTTCTGACAGCAGGAGAAAAGCTGAGTGGGGTACAGCTGAGTCCTAATAACCAACAGGAGATGAAGAATAATGTGGAGAAGGTGCTACAGTTTGTGGCTTCTAAAAAGATTCGTATGCACCAGACTTCAGCTAAAGGTCAGTGCCTCTTTACGTTCTTTGTGGATGAGTACACTCATCTTTAGCTGGTGATTGCCACCCTCAGAACCATCGGTTGTGTAGCCGAGAGTTCTGATGGACAGGAGGAGGATTAAGGCTATGACCTCATGTCATTTTTCCATAAAGTTACCCTCTTCAGATAGAATGATTATCAAAATCTGACTGCTTTAGAAACATGGCTGAAGATAGAAGTTCTTTATTCATTTTAATTGAATAAAGGTTTGCTTGAGTATGTACAGGATAATTGATAGAGAAGAAATTATAAAATTGGGATATTAATTCTAGACCGTCTCATTTAAGTTATCAAAAATGAAGATAGATTATGTTTTTCAAATTCCTAGGGTTTTGTGACCAAGAATTATTTCAAGTCGTAATAGCCTACATTTTTTTCCACCCAGTTTTCCAGAAAGAAAGTATTTTCTAGCATTTTTTATTGGCATCGCAGAACATTTCAGGCAGTATAAAAGAGTCTCTGTGACCTCTGAAATATGCCTTCTGCTATAGCCACATGGCTAGAAGAGGATACCTCTCAGTCATTTTGAGCCCAGGCTGTAAGGAAGAAAGGGCGTAGGTGTCCTCAGAGAGCACAGGTTCCCCAGTCTGCTAGTCATTTCTCTAGAACTTATTGCAGTCTGGTTCTGCTTCAGCTTCAGTTTCTGGGGCTGATTGCCTGTGGCTCCGATGAAAATGGGGGCAGAGGGAGCACTCCTTTTATATTGTACTATTGATGTTCTCTGTGTTGGAGTCATTTAGGTGGGGCAGATACCACTGAAAGCACTTCGTAGAAGGTGCCAGTCGATCCTTTTCAAAGCCTTTCGTATTTAAAAGGTTATAAAACTAAAAAAAAAAAATAGAATTTTACCCATTTCCTCACATTAACTGCAGAGGAGCTCCTCACTAGGTTATCACATTGTTTTCTGCCTACACATCTCGTTTTTTTCTAGGACAATTTAGAATGCGATAATATCTCTAATTTGGTCCACATGAGGAGTGGGCTTGGGGATCTGGCCCATTAAAGTCAGCTATTTTGAGAGAACGCTGCCACTCAAGACATCATTTTCTTTTACCTAGAGAAGTGCAACAGCTTCCTGATTAGTCCCACTGCATTGATTTTGTCCCCCTCCCATCTGCTCTCCACACTGCAGCCAGAATGATGTTTCTAAGAATACATAGGCTCATGCCAGCCCTCTGCATCTGAGGGCCCCTAGGATAAAATCCAAAGCCCTTCCTGTGGCTTACCATGCCCTCTCTGACCTGACCTCTGATTCATCCCCTCACTTTTCATGCTGTCCTCCTGCACTCTGACCTCTAGCTATGCTCAACTTTTAGTTCCTCTACCACAGAGCTGTGCTATAGAAATACGTGAGTCACATGCGTAATGTAAAAGTTTTACTAGCCACATTGAAAAAAAGAAAAAGGGTGAAACTAATTTGAACAATAAATTTTATTTAACCCAATAATATATCCAAGAAATCATTTTAACATGTAATCAATATAAAAACTATTAGATATCATTTCAACATGTAATCAATATAAAAACTATTAGCTATTTTACCTTCTATTTTTTGTGCTAAGTCTAATGAGATATTTTTCATTTGTGTATGTGTGTGCTAAGTAAATATTACACTCACAGCACATTTCAATTCAGACTATACCTACCTTCAAAGTGCTCAATAGCCACATGTGGCTAGTGGCTTCCATATCAGACAACGTGGCTCTAGTCTATCATGCTCTCGTTTACCTCTAGACCCTCATGCGTGCTGTTCCCTCTTCTTGGCATACTCTTTTCCTTCTCTTCTCTCATCTGGTGAACCATTATTTATCAGTCAAGTTTCGGTTTAGAACTCAGAATCCTCTAAGAATCCTTCTCTGAGCCTTCTAGATAAGATAAGATGCCTGTGTTCTGAGCCCTGAAAGAATCCTGTACTTCTCCTATCATAACACATTATTGGACTTTATTGTAATTGCTTTTAAATCTTGTTTCCCTGTTAAACATGGCTTTGTGAAGATAGAGACCTTGAATGCCTCGCTCACCTGCATCATTAGCAAATACATATTAAATGAGTGAGTCCTCAGCTCCAGGCCTCCTTTTAGACCTCCTGGTTTGTTTTGTCCCTCAGATATTGTGGAAGGAAATCTGAAGTCTATCATGAGACTGGTCCTTGCCTTGGCAGCTCATTTCAAACCCGGCTCTAGCAGGACAGTGAACCAAGGACGGAACTCCAGAGCTCCTGTGCAGAGTCACCAACCACACTGTGCCACTGCTGTGGCCCAGGGGGCAGCTGCTGCTCTGGCTGATGTGTGTCATGACATGTCACAGTCAGGACGGGATGTCTTTCGATACAGACAGAGGTAAGGGTAGAACTCCGGGGATGGGAACTTGACTCTCTCTGAAAGTTCTTTCCTTAAATGATGCTATGCAGTCGATGAAAATATCACCTAAACAGCCCCACAGTGCAGAAAAGAGCATGGAGTGGAGGTTGTAGCGGGCACTCTAAAAGAGAAAAGCCCTTTCCTTTAGGGATGTTTACTTTGCAGTTAGCAGAAAGTAAAGGAATTATATATGTATTTATTTATTTATTTTTTTGCTCTGGTGCCCAGAATTTTAAATATATGCCTTTGGCAGAGTGTTTTCTTCACTGGGAGATATGTGGGAGCAATGCTCCAATTCATCTGGGGGAGTCTCTCCCTGGAATGTACTCTGAAGGCCAAGCTGTCCTGGAGAATCGTGGCAGGAAGCACTTTGGCAGCTGTGTGTCTGCTGAGAGAGAGCACGACCCTGAGGTGTTGCAAAGATTGGTGAAATTACTTGTTTTTGTGTCTCTCTTCCCTATTAGGTTTCAAGTGTCTTTTAAAGTGGGGGCTTTGCCTTTATTCATCTTTTTTCCAGTAGCGCTCACAGAGTGGCCATCTGTCAGTACTTGTTGAGTTGACCTGAAGGACTGACACCTTCTCCTTTGCTGGTGCCCTCTGACTTTAGGAACAGCAGCATGGATGAGGAGATTGAAAATCCATACTGGAGTGTGCGAGCTCTGGTGCAGCAGTACGAAGGGCAGCAAAGGTCCCCGTCCGAGTCCAGCTGCTCCAGGTAATTGTGGCCTTGGATTCTTTACCACTACAGTCATAGCTAAAAATCGAATTCTTGGGGGTTCTCAGGGTTCTCAGCGTCAAGTAGCAACATAGACAATAAGGCACCTAAATGCTTT